GATTGGAGAAACTTGATTTTTCGCCCAAAAACGAAAAAAAAACGAAAGGGGTAACACTGTCGTTTTTTTTTCGGGTCGAAATTTTGAGTTTCGATATCTCAGCTCTGGAAGGGTCTAGAGCCTCCATTTTTGCACTCAGGTCAAAGTCTCGCGGCCCTCTATCATAATCCAGAGTTTTGAGAAGATTGGAGAAACTTGATTTTTCGCCCGAAAACGAAAAAAAACGAAAGGGGTAACACTGTCGTTTTTTTTTTCGGGTCGAAATTTTGAGTTTCGATATCTCAGCTCTGGAAGGGTCTAGAGCCTCCATTTTTGCACTCAGGTCAAAGTCTCACGGCCCTCTATCATAATCCAGAGAGTTTTGAGAAGATTGGAGAAACTTAATTTTTTGCCCGAAACGAAAAAAAAACGAAAGGGGTAACACTGTCGTTTTTTTTTCGGGTCGAAATTTTGAGTTTCGATATCTCAGCTCTGGAAGGGTCTAGAGCCTCCATTTTTGCACTCAGGTCAAAGTCTCGCGGCCCTCTATCATAATCCAGAGTTTTGAGAAGATTGGAGAAACTTGATTTTTCGTCCAAAAACGAAAAAAAAAACGAAAGGGGTAACACTGTCGTTTTTTTTTCGGGTCGAAATTTTGAGTTTCAATATCTCAGCTCTGGAAGGGTCTAGAGCCTCCATTTTTGCACTCAGGTCAAAGTCTCACGGCCCTCTATCATAATCCAGAGTTTTGAGAAGATTGGAGAAACTTGATTTTTCGCCCGAAAACGAAAAAAAACGAAAGGGGTAACACTGTCGTTTTTTTTTTCGGGTCGAAATTTTGAGTTTCGATATCTCAGCTCTGGAAGGGTCTAGAGCCTCCATTTTTGCACTCAGGTCAAAGTCTCGCGGCCCTCTATCATAATCCAGAGTTTTGAGAAGATTGGAGAAACTTGATTTTTCGCCTGAAACGAAAAAAAACGAAAGGGGTAACACTGTCTTTTTTTTTCGGGTCGAAATTTTGAGTTTCGATATCTCAGCTCTGGAAGGGTCTAGAGCCTCCATTTTTGCACTCAGGTCAAAGTCTCGCGCGCCCTCTATCATAATCCAGAGTTTTGAGAAGATTGGAGAAACTTAATTTTTCGTCCAAAACGAAAAAAATGAAAGGGGTAACACTGTCGTTTTTTTTTCGAGTTGAAAATTTTGAGTTTCGATATCTCAGCTCTGGAAGGGTCTAGAGCCTCCATTTTTGCACTCAGGTCAAAGTCTCGTGGCCCTCTATCATAATCCAGAGTTTTGAGAAGATTGGAGAAACTTAATTTTTCGCCCGAAAACGGAAAAAAACGAAAGGGGTAACACTGTCGTTTTTTTTTTTTCGGGTCGAAATTTTGAATTTCGATATCTCAGCTCTGGAAGGGTCTAGAGCCTCCATTTTTGCACTCAGGTCAAAGTCTCGCGGCCCTCTATCATAATCCAGAGTTTTGAGAAGATTGGAGAAAACTTAATTTTTCGCCTGAAAACGGAAAAAAAAAACGAAAAGGGGTAACACTGTCTTTTTTTTTCGGGTCGAAATTTTGAGTTTCGATATCTCAGCTCTGGAAGGGTCTAGAGCCTCCATTTTTGCACTCAGGTCAAAGTCTCGCGGGCCCTCTATCATAATCCAGAGTTTTGAGAAGATTGGAGAAACTTGATTTTTTCGCCCGAAAATGAAAAAAAACGAAAGGGGTAACACTGTCGTTTTTTTTTCGGGTCGAAATTTTGAGTTCGATATCTCAGCTCTGGAAGGGTCTAGAGCCTCCATTTTTGCACTCAGGTCAAAGTCTCGCAGCCCTCTATCATAATCCAGAGTTTTGAGAAATTGGAGAAACTTGATTTTTCGCCCGAAAACGGAAAAAAACGAAAGGGGTAAACACTGTCGTTTTTTTTTTCGGGTCGAAATTTTGAGTTTTCGATATCTCAGCTCTGGAAGGGTCTAGAGCCTCCATTTTTGCACTCAGGTCAAAGTCTCGCGGCCCTCTTCATAATCCAGAGTTTTGAGAAGATTGGAGAAACTTGATTTTTTCGCCCGAAAACGAAAAAAAAACGAAAGGGGTAACACTGTCTTTTTTTTTCGGGGTCGAAATTTTGAGTTTCGATATCTCAGCTCTGGAAGGGTCTAGAGCCTCCATTTT